AATAAAAAACTAAATATATATATATATATATATATATATATATATATATATATATATATATTATTTTTTAGTATATGTGCTTAATTTCGTCATTTGTTGAAGGTTTTGACATGCACTACTCACTATAGTTTGTAAGTGAAACCAATTTGCTTGTTGTATTCCACTAGTTGAGAACTCATCCTTGAAAGTTTTACACTCTTGATCTGTATAATCTCTCTTCCATTAAACACAAAATGTAGATATTAGGCAGAATTTTTCATTTTTTCAAGTTTCAGAAATGGAAAAAAAAAGTCTTCTGAAGCCATATGATAGCTTTATATGAGAAACAGGCCAAAAATGCATCAAGAGTCATCATTCACAACTTATTTCCCTCAACCACAGCTGTCAAGCCTCATTTGTGTTTATTCACATCTGGCGTATGAAGACTGATCAAGTTTGAGCAAGTACAAAAGAGATATGAGAGCTCGTTTTTTTTTAACTGCTCTTATGGTGATATTTTGACAGAGCTCTACCACCTCTGTCCCATTCACTTTTACTGCATTGAAAAGAGCAGTGTAAACATTCTGCTAAAAATCACCTTCAGACCATAAATGTTTACAAATGATGGAGATCAAGTAACAACCACATTTTTATGAGCTATTACATCAATGAACGATGGGGTGGGAGCCAAAAGAAGAACACAGCCTGCGATTCCCACACTACTTTGTTTTTGAGTGATCTTCAGAGTTGCCCTGGCACTACAAATACTTATGAAACTGACAGTGCACAATGATGAAATGTCACAGACAGTCCTCCAGCTACAAAGTCATAAATACATTCAAAGTTTAAGAAAACTTGCAAACTTCATTAAAAGTTTAGAGTAGAGATGAGTAGGAATGTAAATATTGTGCATCTGTAATAACTTCTAGCATTTAGAACTGTTCCTCATGCCATCCTGTCTGAATATGTGAACGTTTTACAAAGATGTTGCCCAGACTCTCCCACATAGTGTATAGAAATTCACAACTAATGAACAGCACTGCCTTCAGAGCTTTTGTGTTGGACTCAGACTAATCACACCATTAAATGGGAATGCTTTAAAGAAGCTATAATGTAAAGGATATTTCTAAAGATGTGAGGTTGTTCACATTATACCTCAACTGCGTTTGAAAGACAAGTCTACATGCGTGTTAAAGGTCAGTCACTTTGAGCAAATGCAAGTAATTCAGTGCTTTTGTAATGTATAACCTTAATGTAACTGGACTTTTGACTGGCCGAATCTAAGGGCATTTTATGCACATTTTGACGAATGATCTTCTTCATAGGACAAAGAGATGCAAAACTATAAATACACCTCAGCATCTCCATCCAAGGCATGTTTACGAGACCCAGCAGTTGTGTTTCATGAAAGCAGACAAATATCCACAGCAGGGGCTCTAGGATCCATGGACACCTCTAATAAGAGCCACAAATAGATAAATAAATCCAATCATTACAATCAGAGGTTTGGCGCATCCCCTCGCAGTGGGCAAAGCACCCCAAGTCAAATCTAGACAAATTAATTCTGTTTTTGGATTCCTGCAGTTCCATTTCCTGGACACAGATTTAAATATCACTCCCAGAAGACGTCAATTCTGAGCGTAACAAAGAGAGAGAAAAACAGCGTGCAGGCAGGGCATTGAACGCTATCAAAGAAAAGAAACCAAGAAAGAATGAGAGCGAAAGCAAAATGACAGGGAAGTTGTTTACAAGATCAGCATGTAAGATTGATTGGGTTTATTGTATTACTGCCCTTTTGAAACCTACCGTAAAAGTTACCTGAAAAAAATAGTAATACTCCAACATACAAGGTGAAATCTTAGGAGCTTTGCATGAAATTAATTTCCCATGGTATCATTTCAAGAAGTGTGAATTGTCTGCCTTGTAGAAGTGAAATGGCTTCTTGTTCCCATAGAGCACAGCCAGTCAGCTTTCTTGTGGTATATTTATATAGTAACATAAATAATTCAAATCTAGTATGGATTATACAGAATTTTTTTTTTTTAAATACAGAATAATATTAATAACTACAATATCAAGTGCTGGTGAATTGTGCACAGTAAGAGCAATGTTATTTTATTTATTAACTATTCATTATTATTCATATGAAATAAACATAAATCTGCACAAGTTTGGGATCAGTAACATACAAACGTTTATTGAAAAAATAAATACAGCTTTGGTAAGCATAAGAAACCGTTTAAAAACATGGAAAAATCATACTTACCCCAAATTTTTGAATATTAATCTACTGTATATATATATATATATATATTTTATATATGTGTGTGTGTGTGTGTATATATATATATATATATATATATATATATATATATAGTACCGTACAATACATTTATATTAAGAATAACGCGTGCTTACGAATTGTGCACAATAAGACGAGACATTTACAATGGAAGTAAATATGGTCAGTTTTGAAATATATTCAATTTCCAATTGTCTTTTCAGCTCATCCTCAACGAATCGGATCAGTGAACTAATTTTGACTTTATGAGGTGGATTTAGATGCTGTCTGAATCTCTTACCTGTGGAATAGCAGAAGCAGCTTTATTTAACTGTGGCTGTGGAAGCTAAAGGGTCAGCTGAGAGGAGCAAAACGCCTGCAGTAAACAGTGTCAGCAATTTATGCCTGAGTGCTGCTGATGCTACAGCTCATTAAAAAACGGCCCTCTAGCATCCTTACCACCTCCAGAGAGAAAGACAGACAGAGAGAGAGAAATAGAGGAGCCTTTTGTGCAAGAGGCAATCAGCTCTGTTGTCTTGTTGTCAAAAGACTACTTTAACACAGCGCTTCAGAGGTGTTTAGAAATTGCGTGTCATAAGCCACCAACAGTATGGTGAAATTGGTCAAAAGCCGAAGGAAACAAGATTACTTTATTGTTATTCTTCAAACATT